CTGACATGGCTCCTTTGAGCAGTTCTGTCAATGGTGGGGGACTGGGGAAAACCAAAGCAGGAGTGACTTTGTAAACAACAGCAGGGTCCAAGGTTGAAAGGAAATGCAGTAGGCCAGAGTGCACGTGGTAGCAGGTTCCAGTGTGAACATTTTATAAAGCTGTCGCCTCACTGGCTGTCTCTAAGGATATTTATTTAGCAATGCTGAATTGTACTGAAAGGGCTTGTGTCATTTGTCATATATTTCCATGTATTTTAGCATATTTTCATTCCCCAATTATATTTCTCACATTGTTCTTATAATTTGAAAGCACGTCTTGCAGCATTTAACTATATAAGACACAGCGTGCTAATAAAACATACTTTTCAAATGCCCAGTGCATGAATGAATTACAGAGTTGTATTTTTTTGGTTTTAATAAACTTTTCAAGTCCCTGCCTGTAATAGAACTGTCTCCCTCTTTGTGCTAGGGACTTCTGGATGATTTACATTGTTTTATAGATTACTTTGCAAAAGATCTCAAAGCACTTTAGAGAATTTGTTTAGCATCTTGGTGTAGCCATTTCTGGGATGGGATGTTCACAATCTTAAGGGATTGTAGATGTCTATCATGTCCAAGCAGGCACAATGGAAGTAAATCTTCCTCTATTGACATACTATTCTTCTAATATTTAACGTAATGGAAATATACATTTTTTGTGAACCTCAGGAATTGAGCACACAACCTTTGAATCTTGGAGTAGTATAGTGCCCTCTATCCTCTGGAGACACAGACGTTATTCCTTGCCAGTTCAATGAAGAGCACTCTCATGCAGGATGGAGTCTTCAGAAGCACTCGGCACTGACCTACCTTTGCTTCTGTTGAACTCATTAGTAAAATACCCATTGTTGTCAGTGGAAGCAGATTTAAGCCAACACTGAATGCTTTTGAACATTGCCACCTTAAAAAAAAAAAAAAAAAGCAAAAAAGCTATATAAGGAAGATAGGGAACAATTGGCTAGTTCACAGCATACTATGGACATTGATTGAAGTTTCAATCCTGCAAGCATGTAAGCATTTAATTTTACTTCTAAGAGACAGAAAGTAGGGCAGAGTGGCACCTTAAACTCACTGGTTCAGAGCTTTGTAGGCAACAGCTTGTTTCGTCAGATGCTAGGAATGGACTTGTCAGGGATAAATCCATTCCTGGTATCTGACAAAATAGGTTCTTGGCTACAAAAGCTCATGCCTCTGAATCAGTTAGTTTTGACTGTGTCACCCTACCATGCCGCCTTTCCAGTCTTTACACTAACATAACTAGCCATCTTTTTACTTCTCTGAGTAACCCAAGGGGCTATGTATGTGGCTGAGTGTTTGTGAGATCAGGGGCCTAAATATTTGCAAAAAAATGTGATAGCAGTTAACTGAATTCAGACCTCTCTAGACTGGGGCAGAAATAACTAACTACATTGTATTATATGTTCTTTTGGGACAGCCAGATCCTCTCTATAGGAACTGGATATACATGCTTGAAAGGGACATTGGGGGAGGGTGGAGGGATCTCCTGTGGGAGTGAGGTAGAAGCGTAGTAGGTGGGCAGGAGTGGCAGGAGTGGGAGAAACTCAACCCAAACCCCTGCAGAAATAGGAAGAGCTTTCTTCTATCTGGATGTAAATAGTGGTTGGGAAGGATGGTTGAGAGTAGGGCTGTGTGAGGCTTTGGATCCGGAGAAGCTTTGGAAGCTTTGGGGTCCAAAGCATCACATCCGGGTTGAATCGCTGGCCTCGTTCGGCTTCCTGAAGCGGTTCGGACTTCCCAAGAGCTTCAGAGCTGCCTCGGAGATCCGGCCATAGAGTATAATGGGGAAACAATAAAATATCTATAACTTTGTTTTGTGTCCGATTTGGATGAATTTTTCAGGAGTGGTAGACTCTGCAGAGAGGATGACGCCTGCCAAGTTTCAAGAAGATCAGTGCAGAGGTTTGGGGGGGAACAGCACCCCACATTCTTGAAAGCAAAACTCCTGTCACATCTAGGCATTACAACATAGTGGGGTGAAAACTGCAGGGGTGGTAGCTCTTGCTGAGGCCACAAAGCCTGCCACATTTCAAGAAGATCAGTGCAGGTGTTTGGAGGAAACTGCCCCTCAAGCTGCGGACGAGCAAAACTCATGCCATGGATGCTTGTGGGACTGACTGTGTCTGGCTTGGGGCGGGGAGGGACACACTGCTGCAGGCCGGGCTGCTGAGCTACTGTGTTACCAGTTACCAATCAATCATGATTCACTCAGGGACCAGGGACTCGGGGACCTGCTCAATACACAGGACCTAGCTACTATATAATGACTTAATGAGTATCAATTAGCACCTACAAAACCAGGCTAAGGAGAGGAAAGCATCTATACAGACAATCATCTGCCCCAACACAGACACAGTCTTGGCACAGTTTTGCCTGTCAGCAGCTAGGGGTGCAGGGCCCCACAACCCCCCTGCACCAATCTCCTCGACAGCTGGCAGGCGTCGTGGCCTCAGCAGGGGCCACCATCCCTGCAGCTGTCATCCCGCTGCACCTTAACATGCACAGTGTCACCCATGGCACGAGTTTTGCTTGTCCGCAGCCTAAGGTGCAGTTTCCCCCAAACCCCTGCACTGATCTTCTTGAAACTTGGCAGGTTTCATGCTCTCAGCAGAGGCTACCATCCCTGCAAGTTTCATCTAAATTGGACAAAAAACAAAGTTATTGATATTTGATTGATTCCCCATTATACCCTATGACCGGATCTCCGAGGCGGTTCCGAAGCTTCGGAGCCACTTCTGCTAGATTGAGGCAGAAACTCAGTCCAGAGCTCCGGGTTGGATCGCGGCCATCTGAAGCAGCTGGATTGGATTGCTACCGACTCGCACAAGCCTAGTTGAGAGTTGCTGGAGGGTTTGCTTATGTAGGCAGTTAGGCAGAGGAGTAGGAGTTCAGGTTTGAATTCTGAAGCTTTGGGAAATCTGTTATTTCTTATCTGTGGATTGCTGATTTATTGTAAGATGCTCTCAGCCTTTTGGATAGGGCAGGATATAAATGTAAAAAATAAATAATAAATATTGTTAGGAGATAGCGTAGCAAGCCTCAGAGAAATGCTTGAAAGTGTCAAGAAAACATGTTAAGTAATTAAAGGATGAAAACTTGACTGCCCAACAGTTATAAACAGTTGCAACTGAGACGAGAGGAAATTTACTGGTAAATTCCTATCTTGAAAACATCTTAATTCAACTTGGAGTAGCTGCACTGGGTTTACCTCCCTACTAGTATTTAATTAGCTTCTGGATGGCTCAATGTCTGTGCTCATGACTGAAGTCATGCTGTTTGCACGCCTTGATTCTGCAATAATAGCTATGACAAAGGCCAACGTTTTTCCTCTTTGGAAATTTCTGTATAGTTTTCAGGAACTGTTCTGAATCACAAGGACTGCATTATTTCACAAGTTTCCAAATATTTTTTTAGTGAACCTTGCTCTTACATTTTGAGTTTTGAATGCTTACAGGCCATACAGTCATTTTATTTTTGGATATACCAGGACAAGTTCCAGTAGTCAGATACTTATGCCCCAACCTGAGAACACCATGGAGAAAATGGGATGAAAGCTTCAAGTTTCAATTCTAACTTCCCACCAAACCCGTGAGAAAGATCTATTCTGTGGGTCCTGTTTGTCCTGAGTCACAGATGCATCCTTCAGACTCTGCATTTGGGGGTCTGTCCCTATGTTGTCTTTTAGTTATCCCAAGTAATCAGTGATATGCCCTTAGTGGCCCCCCCAATCAAGGGGGCTTATAGCTTTACTTGGTGGGCTTTAGCCCACATTTTGGAATAACACATCAAAAGGCCTATGCATTTGAGGGTGGTGAGGGCTGGAGTGAGGAATAGTCAGTACTTCTGTAAAATCATAACGAGGTACTTTCCTTCCTTGTGCAGGAAATGTTGTACGCCTGTTATGAATAATCTGTGTGTATGTGGGCAGAGGACTGGTAAGAGGCACAGGGCCTCTAAGATGCCAAAAAAAGAGTAAGGCAAGTCCCTAGGTTAGCTTGGAGAGGGCAGCAGTAAGACTTTCTTATCAGCAGAAAGGGAGAGAGAAAACCTGGGACCTCAGATTCTTACAGAAAGGTCAGGTCAGGCTAAGGAAGCACAGGTCCTTGAAAAGGGCTTCAACCTTCAAATTCTGTTCCTAAAGGAAAGCTTTAGCTAGCTTTTTTTCCTTCTTGAGTTATAATAATTGACATACTTCTCCACCTGCCAAGGCCCAGGTGTGTGATGCAGGGTGTGATAAAGACCAGTGGTTCTCAACCTTTTTTGTACCAAGACCCATTTGTAAACATCAATGGCCAGTCCTGACCCAGTGCCCCTTACTCCCAACCTGCTGGTCCCTGCCCCCAGGTCCCCAGTGCAGGGGGTGGGTGAGTGGGGCAGGGTGGGGTGTGTGTAGGGCATGGGCGGCCCCAAGCAACCCCTTGCAGGCTGGAACTCTGCCAGTCTGCAAGGGAAAAGTTATGATTTCCCACATTTTTCTCCTTTAAAGGAGAATCCATTTTTCAAGTTTGTTCCCGACCCTTTCATATATTCTTGCTACCCACTTTTGGGTCGTGACCCACAGGTTGAGAAAAGCCGATAAAGATGAATAAGGACTTCCCAGGACTAGCAGTTTCTCCCTTTAACCCCCCTTCTACAGCAGTGTTGGTCCTCTGAGAATGCTTGTAAGTGTGTAAGGAATCTCAAGCAGAGAGGAATGTTCCACCTGAGAGTTAACACTTAAATGCTGCTCCAGAGCTATGTTGCTATATCCTCAATGATACTAATATGGTTTATAAACAAGAGTACAAAGTATCATCTACGTTGATTTTACTGCTAGTGGAACACAATAGCACAAATTTACCAGGGGTGAAACATTAGACAGAGTTTAGATTTCCAAGCCTTTCATTGAGATTGAGGTATTTATTCAGTTTTCATAAACTGACTGCAGTAATTTTTTTGTGTAGGTGATTGGTCATCCCAAGTACAAAGAGTCCCAAAGAATTGCAGTCTTCCTGAGCATGCAAGATGAAATCCAGACAGAAGACATCATTAAGGACATTTTTAAGCAAGGCAAAGAGTGTTTCATTCCACAGTACAAGCCCCAGAGCAACCACATGGATATGCTAAAGTTGGCATCAGTTGAAGAAATTTCTTCACTTCCTGTGACATCCTGGAATATCCTCCAACCCAGTGATGATGACATACGGGAAGAAGCTTTGTCCAGGGGTGAGTGTTTTCTTCTTGCTAACCTTAGTCCAACAATTAATTTCATTGAGCAAGAGTAATTTGGTGATCAGTGGAGGTTAGCTAAAGACAAAGGCAAACTGGTTTCTGGTTCTGAAAGTTGTAGGACTTTCAGGGTGGTGTCCATACGTATAAATGAGAGTGATTTTAGAATCCTAGATCCTACAAATTGTTCTCCATGGATAAATCTCAGTGATTAAAACACCAGTCTTATGCTTCTGGCTTTTCATAAGAAGGTGTTAAAGTCACTTTTAGATGTCAATATACAATTCTAGCCAGTGCTAATTTTACTCCCAGTTATCCTTCTAAATCAAAACCAGCTCCTCAACCTGATCTCTGCTTGCTTATAAATCTAAACATACCTGCTTTTCCTGTGTTCATGTTCCTTCTGTGTTTGTTTTCTTTAACTATTCTAGTGGACATCTTCACAGAGTATTCACAGATTTTTTTAAAGAGTATTCATTAAAAAAAAACGCTCAACTCATGCTCAGAATCTGAGTTCGAGCTATGCTCATCTAGGGACTGGACACATGAAAAACTATGTTGTTTTACTGATGTTCATTTATTGACGTATGCTGGAAGGTAGGGCTAGGATTCAGAGTGTCTTAGCAAATTGGAGGATTTGAAAAAATTAGATTGAAGAAATCTCATGAGGTTCAACAAGGACAAGTGCAAAGTCCTGCTCTTAAGACAGAAGAATCCCATGCACCGGTACAGGTTGGGGACAGAATGGCTAGGCTGGGGGTCCACTTGGAGTTACAGTGGACAATAAGCTGGATATGAGTTAACAGTGTGACCTTATTGCCAAGAAGACTAACAGCATACTGGGTTGCATTAGTAGGAAACTAAGATAAGCTAAGGAAATTAGTAAGAGAGACATTGGGGACTCGGAGACTCAGTGAGATGGGAGTCTAGGATGGGTGGTTGTTCCTTAAAGAGACAATCCTCCGAGCTCAGAGGGAGTCAGTCCCAACACGAACCAAAGGGGGCAAGAGTGCTAAAAAGCCCCCTTGGCTCAGTAAAGGCATCCAGGAGGGCCTATAAGCAAAAAAGGTGGCATACAATCAGTGGAAACAAGGGGCTATCACCAAGGAGGATTACACCTTTGTTGCTCGTGATTGTAGGGAGGAGGTTGGGAAGGCCAAGGCAGAGACGGAACTAGGGCTGGTGACCAGAATTAGGGATAATGAAGTCCTTTTTCAAATATATAGGGAGTAAGAAGAAGGCACCAGGTAACGTGGGGCCACTAAGGACAGGCTTGGCAATCTGGTGATCGCAGCAAAGGAAAAAGCAGATCTCTTCAACGAGTTCTTTGCCTCCATATTTCTGAGCAGGGACCAGGACAGCTCCCCCACTAGAATTACAGACAGGCTCAGGGGACACAGCGCCATGCCTAGGGTCAGGGACAATCTAGTTGGGGAACTTCTGGAGGGGCTAGAGTGTTTAAATCAGCAGATCCGGATGCTCTTCATTCAAGGGTACTGAGGGAATTGGTGGAGGTCGTAGCAGGGCCCCTGGCACAGCTGTATGAGCGCTTGTGATGCCCTGGCCAGGTCCCAGAGGAAAAGGGTCATTTACAAGAAGGGGAAAAAGGAGGACCTGGGTAACTCTAGGCCAGTTAGTCTTACCTCAGTCCTTAGGAAGATCTTTGAGAAAATTATCAAGGAGCACATCTGTGGGGGCCCAGCATGGGAGGTAATGCTCAGGGCCAACCAATGTGGGTTCATTGTGGACAGGTCCTGCCTGACTAACTTTATTTCCTTTTACAACCAGGTCACAAAGTCCTTGGGTGCAGGTGTTGAGGTGGATGTAGTCTATCTGGAATTCAAGAAGGCCTTTGACACTGTTTCTCACCCCACACTTGTAAAAAAACTAGGTGACTGTGGTATTGATGCCTACACAGTCAGATGGGTAGCAAATTGGTTTGATGGTTGCACCCAGAGAGTGGTGGTAAATGGGTCGTTTTTGACCTGGAGGGATGTGGGCAGTGGAGTTCCCCAGGTCTCGGTCCTCGGGCCTGTGCTATTCAAGATCTTTATCAGAGACTTGGAGGTTGGCGTGGAAAGTACGCTGTCCAAATTCGCTGATGACACACAGATGTGGGGAGAAGTGGGCACACTGGAGCGTAGGGGCAGAATCCAACTAGATCTAGACAGGTTACGGAGGTGGGTGGATGAGAATAGGATGGAATTCAACACAGACAAGTACAAGGTGCTGCATCTAGGGAGAAGGAACCTGCAACATACCTAGAGGCTGGGGAACACCCTTCTCAACAACACAGTGGGTGAAAGGGATCTTGGAGACATTGTTGACTCCAGGATGGACATGAGCCGCCAATGCTAGGAAGCGGTCAGTAAGGCTAACCGCACCTTGTTGTGCATCTACAAATGCGTCACAATCAGGTCCAGGGAGGTGATCCTCCCCCTCTATGTGGCGCTGGTCAGGCCACAGTTGGAGTACTGCGTCCAGTTCTGGGTGCCGCACTTCAAGAGGGATGTGGCTAACCTTGAGAGGGTCCAGAGGAGGGCCACTCGCATGATCAGGGGGCAGCAGGGCAGGCCTTACGAAGATAGACTAAAGGGCCTGAATCTATTCGGCCTCCACAAGAGAAGACTGAGAGGGGATCTGGTGGCCATCTATAAACTCATCATGGGGGACCAGCAGAAAATAGGCGAGGCTCTGTTCCCCCGAGCACCACCTGGGATAACAAGGAATAATGTCCACAGATTGGTTGAGAGTAAGTTCAGGCTTGATATCAGAAGGCATTACTTTACAGTTAGGGCTGCCAGGCTCTGAAATGGGCTCCCAAGGAAGGTGGTCCTTTCCCCTAGCTTGGGGGTCTTCAAGAGGAGGTTGGATACATATCTGGCTGGTGTATTATGATCCCAGCACTTGTTCCTGCCCAGGGCAGGGGGCCAGACTTTATGATCTGTTCAGGTCCCTTCCGACCCTAGAAACTATGAAAGTTGCCAGCAGATTGGGGGGAAGTAATTATTCCCCTCTATTCAGCACTGGTGAGGCCACATCTGGAGAACTGTGTCCAGTTTTGGGTCCTTCACTACAGAAAGGATGTGGACAAGTTGGAGAGAGTCCAACGGAGGGCAACAAAAATGGTTAGAGGGCTAGGGCACATGATTTATGAGGAGAGGCTGAGGGAACTGGGCTTATTTAATCTGCAGAAGAGAAGACTGAGAGGGGATTTGATAGCAGCCTCTAACTACCTGAAGGGTGGTTTCAACAGAGGATGGAGCTACACTGTTGTTAGTGGTGACAGATGGCAGAACAAGGAGCAATGGTCTCAAGTTGCAGCAGGGGAAGTTTAGGTTAGATACTAGTAAAAACTTTCTCACTAGGAGGGTGGTGAAGCACTGGAATGGGTTACCTAGAGAGGTGGAATCTCCATCCTTGGAGGTTTTTAAGACCTGGCTCAACAAAGCCTTGGCTGGGATGATCCAGTTGGGGATGGTCCTACTTTGGGCAGGGGTTTGGACTAGCTGACCCCCTGAGGTCACTTTCAACCCTAATTTTTTATGATTCTATCTGAATCCTTTGTCTGCTCATGGTCCGCACTAAGTAGAATTTAAACCAGTGTTGCTTATCTTGAATGAACACATACCCCAGTGTGCTTTACATAAGTTTTCTATGCTAGTATGAATTACAATGGGATGATACACAGACAGAAATGTAGCCATTTTGTGGTAGCTGCACACAATATAGCTAATGGTATTTAACAGGCCTCTAGAATCAATGTAACTTGAACCAGTCAAGTTTTACTCCTGATTCTTTCAGGGGCAATTCTTCATCCGTTTGGGAGAAGTAACCTTGTGGTTTGTGGTTTTTTATCATCTGTCTACTACTTTTTTCCCCCTGTAAACTCAGTTATGCTGGTATAAGTGAGTTATATATGTCCCCACTCAGGGTTAAGTCACAGTAGCGTAGTTGCTCTTACTGTGGGATAGGAGTGGACAGATGAAATGGGTACAATGGATCAGCCTATATGCTATCTCAAACAATAGTTTGGATGCTGAAGCCTGAAATCTACATGGAACTATTCAACTGTTACTTGCTTCCCTAAAGTGTGTCTAATGAATTACCATTTTATACATCAGCAGATTTAGGGACTTCTGATAGTGACCCTTAAAATTGCCAAAGTTCTATTAATTCAGCATAGTTCAGCCACTTGGGACAAGCTACACGATGCATGATGAGATACAGTTAGCGGCATTTAACAGGCCTCTATCAGACAACAGAAAGGGAAGACAGGAAAATCTTGGGTGAAATTTAGCTAGAAAGGGGGCTACACAAGAACCACTGCAGCCCTTGTAGAAGGAGCCTGTCAAGGAAGACTTGCAATATGGCAGGGGCAGAGATCCAAGATGTTTTTTCACATGAATCTCCTGCCTCACATTTAAAGTAACACTGAGGTAGTAGAATGGAGCTGGGTACTTGTTTTTTCAAGTTTCAGTATTTTGATGAATTGAACTGAAAGAAATTGTTCCTCATTTTCCAACCAACTTTAATAGCAACGGATATACACATTGCTCCTAGCAGAGGACTTTTTCCTCAACCTTCTTAAACTTGACCTCCATGGGACTATATTTCTATGCGTGTGTGACATCTTCAGATGATTCAGTGGTTCTCCTATTCATAGGCTGGAAGGACAGACACCCTTCCTCTTTCTCTGAATAACTTTTGGAAGTCTGGTAAGGGCATTTAGACTCTGATGCTGATGAAACACAAACCAGACAGACCACTCGCAGCAGAAACAAGGACAGTGCTTCTGTAAAATGCTGTTGCCATATTTTTCGATCTTCAGTACATTGGCTAGAACACAGGCTGCTTTGCTGCCACCCATATCCTCCTTGTTGGAATTATGCATGTATGAATCATTTATCTCCATAATTTTATCAAATACTGTGGTGATCCAAGGCATTTACATTGTTATGGATAGCTAACATGATGTTATAGTAGCAATGTTCCCA